CAAATAGGCCCGCGATTGAGCGGGCTGGCCAAGCAAAGGCCCAAGCCCGTCCGTTTAAGCGGGCGGGCGGGCCAGCCCGCGGGCCACTGGCCCGTTTGACAATGCTATTTGCATCTATAGACTTTGAGCTACCTGCTCGGGGTTCTGACAACCATGCACTTCTATTTAGTTTATGGTCCACGAACCAGTGCTCTGGGCCCTGCCAATTTTGCACTTTACTTGCAATAATGGCCCCCTACCTAGCTGCTTGGGGTTCTACCAACTTTGCAATTCACTTGTACTTATAATTGAGAACACTTAGCATAATAATGAGGAACTTTATTCATAATATCAACTGAAAGTGTCTGAATAATAGAAATAAACTGAATGCATAAAACAATCTAACCAAGCTTAAGCATGGTACTTCTTCAAATGTGCCACTTTCCACGGTCGGGGCATGAGCATCCCTTTCGCATCTCACAACTTGTATGCACCTTTTGAAAAATGCATTCGATCGCTTAAAGCACATTTGACTCGAGCTTGCCGATGTGCTTGAGTGTATCTGCTTGAGGCCATACTAGGTCGCCCACTTGAAAACTTCGAGGTCGCACCTTCTTGTCATGAGCCGCCCTCATCCACTGCTTGTAAACCTTAGTATTGACCCTTTCTTGGTCATAGAGCTCATCTACAAAGTCCAACACTGCTTTGGTGAGCTTAGCATTTTTCTTTATATTGTAGGTCGAGATCCTCCGCAAATCGAAACCTATCTCTACATGGATTACAACCTCTATGTTATACACCATACTGAACGGTGTTTCTCCTGTCGAGGAACTGTTCGTGGTTTTATATGCCCATAAGACCGAATCTAGCTCGTATATCCAGGCTCTTGAGGGCCTTTCGAGTCTGGTCTTCAGTCAACTAATTATTGAACTTCTGCTTGAGGGTGAGCTACAAATGTGGAGTGTTTCTTTATCTTCATGGCCTTACACCAAGTCATTAACTTTTGATCCATGAACTCTGTTACAGTGTCCAACACAAGCACCCAAATAACCCAATACCTGCAACAAATATTGGTGAAAAGAAACTTTATCACATTTTCTTGTGTAATCCTTGCCACAAGTACGACCTCGATCCACTTGTTGAATAATCTACTACAACCACCAAGAACTTTCTCTATCTCGTTCCTTGAGGTAGAAGATCATGGTCGATGTCCATCTTCTACTGGTAGAAAGATAATGGCAAGCTCATGGGGATCATCTCTTCTGCTGATCGATGGATGGACGGACCGTACCGCTGACACTCAAGGCATTTTTATACGAGCCCTTGAGCCATTGCCCTCGTCTTAGGCCAAAATTATCTAGCACGCAACACTTTTCGACCAATGCTCTGGCCTTGATGTGGTTGACGCAACAATCCTCATGCACTTCTTTCAGCACAGACTCTCCCTCCAGGTCAGAGACACAAGGCAGATGCAGCCCCACATAAGACCGTTTGTACAACACTTTGTCCTAAAGAAAGAACCGTAGAGCTCTTCTTACAATCGAATCACCTCAGATATCCTTATCCATTATCATATTTTGCAACCATCGTACCAGCAACAACCTCTAGTCATCTGGATCCTCACGTTCTTCAACCTCCATGACTGGCTCCAAGACGCTAAAGCCCATCTCTAATAATGTTACCGACCTGGACATACAATCCACCAAGGAGGATGCCATCATGGATAAAAGATCTGCCCTATTGTTTTTCCCCCGATAACTACACATGTTCTCAAGTCATGAATCCTTTTAGTTGTGAATGTCCCTCGACAACATACATTTGCATATGATCTTCTTTGGCCTCGTATCAACCCTTCCTGCTTAATGAAGAACTAAGAATTGGAATGGATGATAATTTGTTGACCACCCTCCTTCGCAACGAGCTTGATTTCATTGATCAAAGCTTTGTACTCTACCTCATTGTTTTAGGCCCTAAAAGATTACGACTAGTATACCAAGACCTGTTCATCCAATGGCTAGGATCATCTGCGTACACCATCCATATGTCGACCTCCTTCTCCACCCTACATTTTTGAATGAAGTCCGCTAGTGCTTGAGCCTTTATTGCTCTCTTCACCTCAAAGTCTACGTTATTCACTCCTAGCTCAACCGCCCAATTGACCATCCTTCCAGAAGCAGAAGGTCATTCCAAAATGTCCTTCATGGCACAATTTATATGGATGATGACCGTGTGCGACAATAAGTAATATCACAACTTCTAGCAGTGAAAATGAGTTCTAGTGCAACTTCCTCAACCTTTATATACTTCACTTTCGCACCCTAAAATACTTTGATCATGTTGTATATAACCTTCCGCTGTAGAACATCTTCCTTCAATAGCACCAAGTTGAACGCCACCCCGCCTATGGAAAGGTATAAGACGAGGTCTTCTGCGGGCTTTGGTTTTGTAAGCAACAATAGCTCAAATAGGAATTCTTGCAATCGATCAAATGCCCCTTGTGCTTGAGGTGTCCACTCAAAACGAGATCCCATTCTTAGAGCACCGAATGATGGGAAACTCTTTCCTGCGAACTGAGCAAAGAAACTGCATAATCATACCAACCGACCTGTGAGGGCTTGAACTTCCCTGACACTCTTTGGTGTTTGCATCTCTAGAACTACCTTCATCTTTTCGGGTTAACCTTGATACCCCTCTTTGTGACCACATAACCGAAAAATCTTTCCCAACTGATCCCAAACTTACATTTTGCCAGGTTAAGCTTCATCCCATTCTGGCACAATATATGAAAGGTTTCTCTCAGGTCACTGACATGGTCTTTAACATTCTTGCTCTTCACAGCATGTCGTTGACATAGACCTACATGTTTCTCCCCTGCTGGTGGCAGAACATCATGTCCACCATATGCTGATACGTCGTCTCCGTATTCTTCAAGCTAAAAGGCATCACTACGTAATAATATGTCCCCTTTGAAGTGGAGAAACTTACCCGCTCTTGGTCCTCAATCGACAGAGGTAGTGATAACCTTGTAACGCATTCATCATTTTAAGGAACTCGCAACCCGCTGTGGAGTCAACTAGATGGTTTACCCTCGACAGTGGGTAATGGAGACATGCTTTGTTGAGTTATCTAAAATCAATGCACATGCGTCGCTTGTCTTTGCCTTTCTTCACCATAACAAAATTCGACAGCCACTTCGAAAAATGAATAGGTCGCAGCCACTTCGAAAATTGAATAAGTCAAACGTGACCTACTTTAAGTAGTTTTTCGACCTCGGCTTATGTGACCGTATCAAGCTCTACTCCAAAGCGCCGACGTTTCTGCTCCACCGACCACACATTTGCTCGGGGTGAAAAATTATTATAGCAATTAGATTTTCCCAAAAAATAAAAAATAAAAAAGAAAGATTAATCGACTTGAAACAACATATTTGGCAAAAAAAAAAA